TCGAGTACCAGTAGTCAAGTTCGGTAGTACACTGGACACGGCAGTACGACGTAGTCGTGTACTTGCAGCAGGAGTGGGACTGTAGGACTAGACGAATTGGACGAGGCTGTGCCGCATTAAGATGACGTCACCAACACGCCCTTCGGTGGATTTCGGGTGGATACCGGGTAGATACGGGCAGTCGTACGACCCCTACCGTCCAGTATCGACACCCGAACTAATGCGTGCAGTACGTTTATTCCAGTATTGAAGTCCGTACTAAAGCAGCCAGTACAGCAGTACAGTATCGAAAGCTGTACTCAAAAGTACCGAAACTAATATTCCAGTATCGAGAGCTGTACTAAAAATACTGAAACTTTATTCCAGTATCGAGAGCTGTACCAAAAGTACTGAAACTTTTGTTCCAGTATCGAGAGCTGTACTAAAACAGCCAGTACATTCCAGTATGCCTCGCAGGTACTGAATACTGTGCAGTACCCCCAGTACTATACTGTACTAAACACACCCGTGAAGAAGATCGCGAGACATGATCTACGTGTGGTCGTATGGACAGACCAAAGAGAGCAGAGAGCACGGAGCTCTTCAATATTTTGACCGAAAGGCAGTGGATGGAGAAGCGATAGATGCGAGAGATAAGGTGAATGCCGAAGTTTTCAAGCACGATCAAATATCGATGTGAGATGTTTATTTTAACTTGCAGTTATGGCGCATGTACCGTCCATCGTTTCACGCACACACCCGACCCCGCAGCTTTCATTTTTTGATCGCCTCACGTCTGTCTCGGGTGCTAGTCATTTACCAAACTGGGTTTTGCCCTCAACGTTCCGCGTGTTTGCCGTACGGCCTTTCTGCCTAGTTTCAACGAGCGTGCGACGTGGGGATCGTGGCCGGTTCACACACAACGGAGGGCCTTCTCTCTTTTGTCTCCCCGAGGCACGCCCAACCATTGCTTCTCAGCTGTGCTGACTCGCGCCGTTGTTGCACGCCTGTGTCCTCTACCCCCCCCTCCCTGTCCTACCCTTCCATCCATGCCCGAATCGTGGCACTCGAGACTCGTACACCCTACCGACGAGAGCGCCCGAACTTCAACGCTATGTATACTAAACGTTTGCATACTACATCCAGACTACTCAGAAACTATTTGTGGACGCGTGTAGACAGTGATTGTTCCAACAACGACTACGACTACTGAGAGCGCGTTTTGGAGGTCAGCCTTTGCGACGAGAACGGTACATGGGTCAAAAATTCTGAAACGCGAGCCAGAAGAACAAGACGTTCGCTTTCAACAACCGTCATCAGACGACTCTCCTTTCCCCCTCCTCGATACGAAAGTCGCTAACCCCCCCCCCCCACCCACCCCTCGAATCATCAACAGGCAGCACCGCAAAACCGGGCAGGTTACATACGGCACCAGCTACGCCCTCCACCAGCAGGGCTACAACACCGGCCTAGCGGCGAAGGGCTTCGACTCGGACGATGACGACGACAACGACAAGAAGCCGGCGGCCGCCGCCGCCGCCGCCGCCGCCCCTGTCCCCGCCCTTGCTCCGGTGGCCTTGGTGCCGCCGCCGCAACCGTACATGCAGCAGCCCCAGTACGGGATATCGCCGGTGCCCCAGCAGTACTACGGCCACTCGCCGGTGCCGTATGGGGTGTCGCCGGTGGCCATGTACCCGGCAGCGCCCTGGAGCGCTATGCCGGCGTCGCCCGTGCCGGTCCAGGTGCCGGAGTACATCAAGCGGCAGGTGAGAAAGAGAGAGCGCGCGGGGGGCAGCAGTCTACGCCGCAAAATCGATTGAGCAAACTAATGGGATAAAGTATTCAATCTGTGCTTGAGGATTCTCTCTGTCTCTCTCTCCCTCTCTCTCTCTCTCTCTTTCTCATTCAGTAGCAGGCTATGTAGTTCGTCTTTAGTGAATATGTTGGATGAAGGATGCAGTTGGGGAGTTGAGTTAGGGTCTGGGGTCTGCGCACCCTTTCCATGTGCTATTTATTTGAGCAGTAACCAGAAACGGGTATTCCCAGGTGAAATATCACCATTTCAGGGTACACTTTGAAATCAACACGCCACCAATTTCCGACAGCATCCGCCGTAGATCGTGGCGAAACCAATAAGCCGATGTCTGTGTCCTGTGTCCTGTGTCCTGTGCCTCGGAAGCACGAGGCAGGTCGTGCCCGTTTTTCTCTGTCTCTGTGCCTCTCTCTCTCTCCGACCTTTCACTTACCACCCCTCTGTTGAGAAGGGCCGGTATCCTAAGGAGGCGGTGCCCATGAACGATGAACGAGCGAGTTTTGTTGGTGGTTTGGTTGTGGTTATTCATGTGCGGTACACGGTATGTGCGGTACACGGTTTTTTCTGCGGGTTTTATGCTAGAGCGTCGGGCGCCTAGATTATAAGACTATTTCTGGGTACAAAATCGACCTCTTCCGGGCACACCAGTAACCAATATCGGTCACACCAGAGGGTCCTAGTTCCAGCGGAAGTTGTACCCGATGGAGGTTTCTTCAGAAATGGGCACAATGGTTTTTCGGCCAATCAGCTGACAGCCTGTGGGTGTACCCTAAAGTGGTGATAGAGTATCCGGGTGTACCCGTTTCTGGTTATTGGTCTATTTATTTCCTCTCTATAAATATACATGAACACAAATTCTCACGAAGGCGGTCCCTCTCTTTCTCTGTCCTCCGGAGTATTTTTTTCTCACCCTCCCTTCTCGCTCCCCCTCCCCCCCTCCCTATCCCTGACCCGTACCCTAACCCTAAAGCACGGATTGAATACTTTATCTTTGCTTAATCAATTTTGCTGCGTAGACTACTGTCCCTTTTTTTCTTCTGTGTGTCTCCTCCAATTCTTGTGTCACTCAAACGTGCTTTTTTCAAACCCGTTTACTAGAGCAGCGCCCGGTTGTTCACGCAAACCAAACACGTCGCTTTGGCCTGCGTTGTCTCGTCTCGCCAAAAATAAAAAAATACTCCGCAGCACGCCGAGGCCCTCAAGGCGAAGAAGAAGAAGGAGGAGGAGGAGAAGAAAAAGAAGGAGGCCGAAAAGAAGAAGATCGCCGCGGGAGCGTGGGAGAAGTTGTACACCAGGGACGGCGGGAAGTTCTGGCAGCACTCGGTCACCGGAGAGATCTCCAAGACCGACCCCTACTACTGACGCCGCCGTCGGCGCTGAAGCGGTCCCGTGAATGCGGGAGGGGGGCGGGGGGGCTGCCTCGGTGAGGCGGCAAGTGGGCTGGCCGCCTTGCTGATAAATTGCGGCGGCGGCGGCGGCGGCGGCCGAGGGGATACCGAAAAAACACGGCATTGCTGGCAGAGAGGTGCGGCGGCATAAGCCGCGCGCACGTGTGAGATGGTTTTGGGCGGGCGCGAGTGGTCATTGTTGATTGAGGCAGCACAGAACCGGGGGGAGGGGGGCGAGGAGGAAAAGGTCTATCGTGGCCGCCCGCAAACAACGCGAGGTTTTTTTCTGATTGGTGGATTTTTTTCAGGACACGGAAGCGGCCCGACAGAAAGGAAAGGCGGGTCAGGATTTGCAACACCCTACCGCGGTTCCGGCTTACGGCACGATTGGCAGCTGTGTCGCTTCAAGTTTCGCGTGTGCCACACCCGTGTGTGTATGTGTGTATCGCTTGTCGCCTGGCCTTCCGAGGTTGACTGACATGTTAACGGCTTGCTGCTTTTTGCTTTTTTTTGCTTGGAAGAATGAGTGGAGAGGGTGGAGTGTGTGCATAGACAACAGAACAAAGCGGCGAACTATATTTGTACCACTGTTTCAAGCGGGGGAGACTAGGACGGGACCCCGGTGTCACGAGGTCCGACAGGCACATGTTGTGTTTTATATGAGGTGTATTTCTTTGTATCTTTTCTTTTTCGTGTGTTTATTGTATCGTTCATCGTATCTCGTGTTTTCCTTCGTTTGTCTTCATTTTGCTATACTGACGCCCCCGTCCTAGAATCACATGAAAGGGTGCCGTGCAGTATGTGTTTCGGGACAGACAGTCATTACGGCATGCCCTCGCCCTTTCGGCACAGAAGCGGAGCTGGCGCTGTGCTTTTTAAGATTAAAGAGCAGCTTTACTGGTTCAAAAGACAGTTGCATGTTGGTTCATGCGTGGGTGTTTCCCCCTCCCACAAGCTAGTTAGTGTTAGTTGGAGGTGGGAAGGGGGGGGGGTACAAGTGAACGACAGCTGCCCTTGCGAATCCCTTTATCGGCGCACCGCGAGAGACATGGTCTTTGCGGCAGTTTCAATGCTTTCAGCTGTATTCTACGGTGCAGGCACTCGGTGGTACCATGGTCCTACATTGACCGCACTGACGGTTTTCGAGTGAAGGGTCATGTTGTTCTTCTGTCCATTGCTTTGAAAATATGAATGAGGACGCGAAGTAGGGGTTATGCCTTGACATGGGATGTCAAGAGTTGCCGAATTCCGGTGGTGGTGATGGTGGTGACGGGAGCGTCGGTGGTGGTGTTTCCGCGTGCAGCTAAAATGACATTTTTTTTTTTCTATGCGTTTTTGCCCCGGACTGCTGTGTGCTTGTTCATCTTTCTGTAGCCCTTTTTACCGTAATTGGCTCAACCGGTGTGTAGTGTGTTGACAGCTAGAGTAAGACCAAAAGACGAACACACCCCAGGAATTTTGAGTACCACTTACTTTCTGCCGGGGAAATCGTCGTACTTTGTTGTGGTTGATGTAGGGGGTGAAGAGTCGATTGAGTCAGCAGGGAAGAAAGAAGACTATAGTAGGGGCAACAGAGGGCCATGCTGGCTCCAATAGGCCAGTACAGAGATACAGAGGCTAGGTGGTGCCTACACATTGCGGGAGTCCTGCGCTATCCGTCTTCGTTTTTCGGGGTGCTGTTGCGTGCTCGTAGCTAAGCAGAGCCTTGCAAAGGGGAACCTACCACCCACCGCTAACACGCCCGCCCGTTCTTTGGCGCGGAGGCCGGCTAGCTAGCTGCAGGTGCTCATTCGGTGTGGTTGTGTTGGGTGTGAGAGATGGGGCGATGGGTGGTATCTTTAACCCCTTGTCGTGCTATTGTGGAGTGGAACGAGGGGGGTAACTCGCACGCAGCCCGTGGCTCTATTTGAGTTCTTTGTTGGTCAATCAGACAAGAGGTTTGTTACTGTGAGGTACACACGCAAGTAATAGGACAAGAAACTGTCTATTTTGTCGCACGAGATGAGCTTCGGAAGTTGTATCGGAGGGGAGACGAGTGAAAAAATATGAAGAAATATGAAACGAGGTGGAGCACGCTGTTGTTAATGTATGTATTATGTGCCGGGGGAGGAAGTGATTGATGGTGTGGCGATTCCTAGATGTTGCTTGTCGTCGTATGGTCGTTGTTTTCTCTGGATTACCTTGCCGGCTTTCTTTTTGAACCGACGTTGTGAGCGCTGGCACGGTGCGGTGATGATAGTTGCGATGGTGGTGGCGCGATGTTGTATGGGTCGCGATCGTACCGGTGTGCCAAGCTAATTTGACGTCAAGAAAAGACGCGACAACTAATGTACAATGACAATAAAAAAAAGGAGCGGGCACGGCATTTTGGAACGGTTTTGGCCGAAGTTTGGCTCTCCGCTGTGGGAAAGTGTGGACCAGGACGAACAGCAACGGCGGGCATCTTGGTGGAATGTTTCCCATTCTCGACGTTTGTGGAGACGAAAACATACCATTCATGCCCGTCTACACTCCAACTTGCCCAGGTAAGACGCTCAGTCGCAGAGTAGTCGCTGCCGTCGAAAGCAGTTGACAAGTCACAGCACACGCCAGTATTCGTGACACCAGGAAAAAACTGGTAAGACTATGACAACACACGCCCTACCTCTCTTGGACGAGAGGGTGTCTAGAAAACAGGCAGACAGGCTCACACACTAGACGGCGTATGTCCGTTGGTACCACGTGTGCAAGGTCAGCTAAATTAAAGTAGTTCCCATTGATTCCGGGTAGAAGTGTCTGACGACTAAACCCTCAAAATGCAGCCGTTGGCTCGGGCCCTTCAAGCTCTTCACCGTGTTTTGTGCGCTGTTACTGGTAGCCCCGGCTGTTGTTGCGACCCTTGGCTGTGCACCAAAAATAAGAAGAAACGAGCTGCATAGATGGTGGAACGCGGTTGGGTCGTCGCGAAGATTCCGCGTCTCAGAGCCGCCTCGCCTGCGAAACATGGCGCGACGGCCACACAGAGGCTTGACATTTTCTGATGACGGCAGGCATCGATCGCTCTCTCTGGTGATGAGGGTGAGAGAGATGCGTCGCACGCCTGCACACCCACGAGGCGAAGGTAGCCACAGGAAAGTTACATGGCGCGCTTGGCGACGACGACGGTGTAGCGGCAGCGTTTTCCCCAGAACACGGCACTACGCCACTTTGTTTGGCCTTCGGCAATTCAAGGCATGCCGTCGCCTAAGCAAGGATGCCCCCTCCGTTTTAATGCTCTCAAAAACAGGGGAGAAAAAGCTCCATACATACAAGTAAGCTCGTTGTTTTATGTACAAATGTGTTATTTTTTATCTCCTGCTTCAAAGCACTTCCACCTGCACATCGCATGTATTTACAAAGAGTCCACAAGCGTACGCCCAGTCCTCCTCCCCAACCAAAATCAGTGTATTCCCGAAACGAGTACAACCTTCTGCTTCCCCCTTTGCCAAGGATCGTAAAATATGCGCCAGTTTTCCTCACGAATTGAGTGCAGCCTCACGGCGCCCCCATTTCCGACGTTCGTCCCAACCCTTCCGCCAATCCCAACTCATACGCAATCGGCGTGCACCCTTCACACGTGGTTCCTGTTCAGCACCTCAGACCCTCACGCCAACCCCACTCGGAACATGAGCCCTCCCTGTACCTGTAGCACTTGCCGACACAAAATGGGTGCATGCATCCTAAAATGCTTCTTTGTGTTGTGTTACATTTTACCCTACGTAATCATCACCGTACCAATACCCCACCGAAGTACTCGTGTAGTCTGACTAGCCAAAACCATGAAAAGACATACGAAGTGTTGCATAAACCTGACTTTCTCGCAGACCAACGAATGTTTAATTTTGTCGTGGAGTCGACAGCCAGGCTCATCCTCTTCTGGTTCATGAATAATAAAACAAAGACACAACTACAACTGGAATCTTAGTCGAAAACAAAGAACAAGGACGATCCGAACAAAGCACAAACTCTAACTCAACCAGCCACTCGCAACCCCCACACCAACTCAACCCCCCCACTCGTTACCCGCCGCGTGAAAATGCACTGCTGTCGTCGCAACCCATCGTAGAACTCATTCCCCATGTTTTCGTCACAGTATACACGAAAAAAACAAAAGACACGCAACATACATACATATGCCACACGCAAGGGGACTTGCGTGAAAGAATGGCGCCGAGTGGTCGCAAAGGGGCGTAGATTACAAGGAGCTGCAGCAGTAGCTCTGCCTTTGCTACCATCAAGTGGGCCTCTGCAACATATATTTCCCCAAGACGACATATTTTTAGTTATCCCGAACCATCCTGCCATAGTCTGGAGCTTTCGGGATTTATCCAGGGCACCCTCGGGAAGAAACTCTACACTTACTCATTACCCGAACACGCCATCCATTCCACTCCGCCATGGACAGCCTGCACGCTTATATACAACCAAACCTCTTGTTCGTTCTTTTCTGCTCGTGCTCTTCGTGTTCAGTAGTAAGGGTCCTTGTAGGTGGTCTTCTTTGTCACCGTGTGCTCCCAGTACTTGTCTCCGTCTTCGTCGTACATCGTCTCCCACCACCCCTTGCCCTTCTCCTTCTTCTCCTTCTTCTTAGCGGGGGCGACAGCGACAGGGAAGAGTGTGCCGCCGTGCACTGGCGACGGCGTGAAGACCGGGCCGCCGGGGTAGCCCATGGGGGACGGGTTGACCGTCCCAACGGGAGGGACAAAGCCGCCACCGTAGCCGAAGTGCCACTCGCCTGTCTTGCTGTGCTGCCTGTTGGTTTAAGGAATGTGACGGAAACAGGGTGGAGGACAAACGGGAGGACAAGGCGGGGG